TAATTATTTCAACCGATAGTTTTTGATGCTCGTATTATTACAGCTTGGTTCATGTTGGGGGAGACTTTTGATGGTTCCATTGTCTCTCCTCTGCTCCCCTAATATTTCCGAGGGTGACTTTACTTTCTGGCCACACCAGGGTATCCTGGACCATTCTCATTTTCTCTTTATGTTCCAAAGAATCCTGGTTTCCTTTAGGGGAGAAGGTCTTAGAGGCAAAAGTCTGGGCACTGGGGTGTCCCTGAGACGTGGGGATGGTTCAGAAACTCCTGTGACTTTTAGGACACTCTGGTCAGAAACGGAGCCAGAAATGCTTCTGTGCTTTTAAGGTCATACGTGTACGTAAATTCTTGCAGTCTGTGGGTCTGTTAACAAAGGTTAACAATATTGTTGTGGTTAATCCGATATTGACAGGATTGACAGGCAGGTCAGTGTGACACTGGCAAGAGCCCTCAACCCCAAGGGGGACAGGAAGCAGACGAGAACGGGCTCCGGGGACCAGAAAGGGAAGGATCGCAACAGAGCAGAGATGAGTCTTTTGAGAAACCTGGCTGAAGGCAGGAGAGACTTGGGAGGTCACGAGGTAAGGGAGGGGGTTGTTTTGCTTTTTGATTTCTGGTCCTTTTTATTAAGATGGGTGAGGCTGCAGCCTGCTTAATGGGTGGAGCAAAAAGTGTCAGAAGTGAAAGGCTGAATCAAATAGGATTCTTCTATGTACAAGGAAAAAAGATCTAGCTCATCTGGTTAAACCAAACTGTAAAATGGGGAGGCCTGTGGGCCACGCAGGGCAGGCCATGGGCACACACAGGCTCCAGTGATGGCCCATTCCCCTGCCTGTGTCTCATGGCTCAGCCTCCCAAGGAGGCAGGCTCTATTCAGAGATGGGCCCTCCCCTCACGTGGTGGCCAGACACCACCAAGCTCTAGTCTACACTCCTCGTCCAGAAGCAAAACGTACTCAGAGCCCATGCAGAAGAAAGGGGACACATCTTTCTCCCAGACTTCTACAAAAGACTCAGGGTGGCCAGACTGGGCGTCTCTGGCAGCACTTTACACATGGGTAAACTGAGGCCAGAGCAGGGCTGACATGTGGGCTCCTCCATCCCCACCCACTTCCCCCATGCGCTCCCTTCAGTTTCCCCCAGTAGCCAGGCTGGAGCAGACCAAGGGGGGTTTGACTTCGGAGTCTGCCAAGGGCTTGGGGCCTGGCAAACTGAGCCACCCAGGCGCCCCTGAATCTCACATTTGAGTAAGGAGAGGGTAGGAGGGGGGAGCCTGGGTGGCTCAGTCGTTAAGCATCTGCCTTCAGCTCAGGTCATGATCCCAGGGTCCCGGGATCGAGCCCCGGATCGGGCTCCCTGCTCCTTGGGAAGCCTGCTTCTCCCTCTCCCACCCCCCACCCTTATGTTCCCTCTCTCGCTGTCTCTCTCTATCAAAATAAATAAATAAAATCTTTTTAAAAAGGGGGGGAGGGTAGGAGGGCAAAGGGGTCCCCAGGGCTGTAGAACATTGTTTGTTGTTTTTTAAAGATTTTATTTATTTAGGGGCACCTGGGTGGCTCAGTCGGTTAAGCGACTGCCTTCGGCTCAGGTCATGATCTCGGGAATCCCAGGATGGAGTCCTACATCGGGCTCCCTGCTCAGCGGGGAGTCTGCTTCTCCCTCTGCCCCTCCCCCCTCTTGTGCGCGCTCTCTCTCTCTCTCTCTCTCTCAAATAATAAAATCTCTTTTAAAAAAGATTTTATTTATTTGTTCATGAGAGAGAGAGAGAGGGAGGCAGCAGGCAGAGAGAGAAGCAGACTCTCCACTGAGCAGGGAGCCCGACACAGGGCTCAATCCCAAGACCCTGAGATCATGACCTGAGCTGAAGGCAGATGCTTAACCAACTGAGCCACCCAGGCACCCCCCGCAGAACACTGTCATTTTTACTGTTGTCTTCTATTCTAGGCCAGTAATAGTGGTATCCTATCTAGGACAGTAATATAAAGTTTCCTTTTAAAATACATTTATTGAAATGAAAAAGCCAATACAAAGAAAAAGGGTTGTGAATATTACCGGTGGTGAAATCCTACGGGTTCATTCATTCTACACGTGTGCTGAGTGTCCAGTCACTCTGTTCCAGACACTGTTCCAGGAGGGAGACATAGCAGTGAACAAGTCAGCAGGAACCCCCGCTCTGTGGAACTCACAATCCCGTGCAGAGGACAGGCATTAAAATACACGTATAAGTGAAAAACATAAAGCATGTCACATGGTGGTAAGTGTATGGGGGAAAACCGAGGTGAGAAAGCAGTGAGTGGGGAGTGCAGGGTGCACATGCCAGATCTGAGACAGGGAGGTCAGGGAATACTCACTCAGAAGCCGACACTGAAGCTCGAACCTGAAGGAGGTGAGGGAGAGAACCACATAGGTGTCTGGGCAAGACTGTTCCAGGCGGAGAGCCTGTTCGAGCGAGAGGAAAGGCCCTGGAGGGGGCGAGCACCAGCAAGGAGGCCGGCGTGGCTGGGCGGGGGCCCCATCCAAGAAAGGGGTGAGGCCAGGGTGAGGCAGGGGCTTTTCTTCTGAGCTCAGTGAGAAGCCACTGGAAGGGTTTGGGCAGAGGAGGGATGTAGCCTGACCTTCTCCCATCATCCCTCGGGCTGCTGTTTGGACCAGGGAGTGGGGGAGGCAGAACTACAGGCCAGACCAGGTCCCTGGGGAGAGGCTAGTGGCTTGGACAGGGGGAGGGGTGAGAAGTGTCAGATTCTGGACATATTTTTATCTTTTTCAAGGCGGATCTGATAGCATTTGCCATTGGAGTGGGTGTGGGGAAGGTGTGGGGTGGGCGGAGAGGAGTCAGGGCTTGGGGCCCAAGCGGCAGGAAAGGGAGCTGTCCTTAACGGAGATGGGGGAGATGCAGGATGCGTGGGGGAGACCGGGCCGCTGGCTGGAGCCCTGTGAGGGAGCACAGTTAGAAATGTGCCTTCAGGGAGAGGTCCGGGCTGCGGGCCACATCTGGGCGTCACACGCAGATCGATGCCTCCCAAGCCACGGTTTGGATGACAGCATCAAGGGTAAAGAGTGGGGTAAGGAGCAGAAGATCAAGAGCGGAGCACAGCCTGTGGAAACTTCTAGAAGCTGGGAAGAGAAGTGGGTCAGTGGAGGGTGGGGGTGGCCACCGAGGAGAAGTGGTCAGGCGTGGCACCTGGGAAACCGGAAGAGTAAAGTGCTTCAGAGAACAGGGAGTGGGCAGCAGTGGCAGGTGCTGCTGGAGGGACCGGTGAGCCAAGGACCAGGCTCCATGTGGACCTAGGAACATGGGCATAGCTGGGGACCAAAAATGACAGATTTAGTGGGCTAGTGGGGGGAGGGGTTTGAGGGACAAAGGAGGGGAGAAACCAGAGAGACAGGACTTCTGCTACAAAGGGAAGGACAAAGGTAAGGCAGTAGGGAAGGGGAGCAGGTTAGGGGATCCTAAAGGGGTTTTGGTTTTAAGATTGGAGAAGTACCTAAAGGGGTTTTGGTTTCCTTCTTTTGGTTTTTAAGATAGGAGAAGTGTGTGGGTTGATGATGAGCAGGGCAGGGGAGAGAGGGCAGAGTTGCTGAGTCAGTGTGGGCTTGAAGGGTGGCAGCTTGTGGACAAGGGGAGGGTTCCTGCGGTCCCTTGGGTCCTGGGAGGGAAGGCAGCGCCTAAGTACCAGGTTGGGAGGCTGCAGATGGGTGGTGGGAGCCCATGGGAATTTTCTTCTGATTCATTCATTCCAAGGCACCTACTAAGTGCCAGGCTGTTCCAGGACTGGGATGGAGAGTTTTCATGTTCTCAAAGGTGGCCTGGGGACCAGTCATTGGCTGAGGGGGAGGAGGAGCCCCGAGGAGTGAGGACAACACAGCCGGCGGCCAGTGGACCCGCAGGAGAGTGAGCGGGGCCAGGACGCAAAAGCAACAAGGGCCCTCGGAAGTTGTGAAGGTTCAAGCAAATAAGTGAAATTCGGTAAAACACTGAGCCACGCCGCAGGCCCAGCGTTTAGCACCAGTCACAGCTGGGGCATGGGGTGGGGAGGTTCAGGAGTATATTCTAGGCTGTGGCATCAGGCAGGCCCGGGTTCCAATACTGACACTGCCCCTTCTCAGTTGCATGACCTTCAAGTGACTTAACCGGCCGAGCCTCGGTTTTCTCATCTGTTAAATGGGGAAATCGGATTATAGGCCCACACAGTAGGCGACAGGGAGGCCAGGGGAGTGCTCCGTACCTGTTGACGGCGGTCCAGCCCCGGCGCCGGGAGCAGCGGGGACGCGGGGGGCCGAGGAGCCGGGACCCAGCGGGGGCGGCGGGCGGGGCGGCGCTGACCACGCCCGGGCCGGAGGGGCGGCGCTCCCGCCGCCGGACTCGGGGCACTGCCTCCCGCCGCCGCGCCGCCCGCCGGCCCCGGGGGCCAGCTCGTCCGCCGCCGCCGCCGGAGCCGGAGGTACCGGGGACCGCGCGCAGGGGGCGGCGGGTGGGGGCTCCCGGGTGCGGCCCTGGGGGCGTCTCGGGAGCGAGTAGGGGCGCCGCGAGAAGGCGGGGGCGGGGGTGGGCTGCGGAGGGGGCGGGGAGGGCTGGGCCGCCGCCCGGGCCACCTGTTCCGGAGGGACATCTGCGTGCGCACCGACTGGGCGCGGCGGTCCGCGGCCAGCTGCGCCCCGAAGTTGAGCGCGGCGGCTGCACCGGCGCCTGGCCGGCGAGGGGAGGAGCAGCCCCGCCCGGGCCCGGGTCCCGCGCCGGCGGAGAGGGTCGTGGGGGCGGGAGGCCCGGGGGCGAGGCGCGCCCCTCCGGTCCGGGGCGCGGAATGGTCTCGGGAGGCCTGGCCGCCCCGCCGCGCTCGCTCCTGGCCCCCGAGGGGGTGCGGCTGGGAGAGCGCCGGGGAGCGGCCGGCTGGAGGGGAGACTGCCGGGGGCGGGAGGCGTTGGCCCCGGTCGAGGGGGGCGGGAGGGTGCCTTGGCTTCGGAAGTGCCGAGGCGGGGGGAGGGCCCTGCAGGTGGAGGGAAGGGCCTGGGTCGGAGCGCCCCTTCCCCTTCTCAGGGATCCCGACCCGCCGACGACCCGTCCTTCCGGCTCGCTTCGCTCCCTCCCTCCTAGCCAGATGGGAACCCCTGAGTGGGAGCTGTGATGTGCTTGGGAGGGGCTCTGGCAGGGGTCCCTGAGTCCACTGCCCTTCGCTGCTGGGGGGCGGGGGCGCTTGCCTCAGTTTCCTCATCTGACACCCTGGAATAGACGGTCCCACCTCCTGGGCAGACTCAGCTGAGCCTCTGGCTCTGAGAGGGTTAAAAGCCGTCTCCCCTGCATCCACCCCTCCCCCAGAAGGACACCCTTTGCGTCTCCTGTCTCCCCGAGATGCTGAGTGATTGCCTGCCCCTCGCAGGCCCCTTGGGGGCCGGCAGAAGCAGGGCTCAGGTTCGCCAGGACTCTACCCTCCACACCTACGTCTGCGCTCTGTGTTCCCGCACAGAGATCCCCTAAGGGGGACTCCCCCAGGTGGGCCCAAATACAAAAGAAAGGGAGAGGCGAGATGGAATCTTCTGACAGCTCGCTACCAGAGGACAGACTCCCAAACAAATTCTGAAAAATGTCTAGAGGACAAACTCCCAAATAGAAATTCTGAAAAATGTCTCCTTTCCTTGTTCCGACAGAAGCTCTTCTAGCTGCCTAGGTTAAAGGTCCAAACTGGGACAGGGGGCAGACTAAGAGAAGGTGGCTGCCCGGGACATTTGCGACAGGACTGGAAGTAGGGACAGATGAGAAAGGGAAACTTGAAATGTGGAAACAGCTCTTTCCTCCCCACCGCCTCCCTCCCCACCGGCCGCTGCCCCTCCTGGCCCTCCGTCCAGGCAGGTGGGCTGTAGGGCTCTACCAGCCACCTGCTCACCCAAGCTCTGCACCTGCTGTGCCTCTGGAATGCACTTCTCCCAACCTTCGGATCTCCTAGGTGAGCTCACAACTTCTGCTAAATGCCCTGTGTTTTCATTGTGCCACTCCTCTCCAGACTGGAAACTTCTAGAGGAAAGGAACCTTACCTGAAACCTCAGTGCTCAGCCCAGCACATAATCAGTGCTCCCTGAATGTTGCTTGGAATGAATTAACTGTAGGAAGTAGGGGGGAGATGCCATATTTGCACCACTCGGAGAATCCTATTGTTAAATTTCGCCATTTTTGCTGAACTTTTTAAAAAATACTTTTTAACATATTTGAATATATCTTGTCTATAGAAATTTTCAAATTCCTCACCTCTCTCAAACCTTTTTTTATATTTTTTCAATGTTTACCTGTGTTTTATCATGTTAGTTAAGGGAACACATTGGAAATTTAGGCTCTTTGGGATAACGTTACGTTGAACTTTTGCTCGTATACATTGCCCGATTTTTCCTGGAAAGAGCATCACCTGGTTGTCACTGCATTTGAACCTCTAGAAGGGCTCTACCTACAGCCAGCTGGCTCTCCAGAGGGCCTGTACCGTTTTGTACTTCCTCAGGCTGCGAGTGTGCATTTCTTGTTATTTCCTAGAAATGAAATTGGTGAATCAAAGAGTATGAACGGGGGCGCCTGGGTGGCTCAGTCATTAAGCGTCTGCCTTCGGCTCAGGTCGTGGTCCCAGGGTCCTGGGATTGAGCCCCGCGTCGGGTTCCCCGCTCTGCGGGAGGCCTGCTTCTCCCTCTCCCACTCCCCCTGCTTGTGTTCCTGCTCTCACTGTCTCTCTCTCTCTGTGTCAAATAAATAAAATCTTTAAAAAGAAAAAACAAAATCGCTTCTCGGCCTTTTGGCTAAGATCAAGTGTAAAAAAAAAAACAACAAAAAACAAAGAGTATGCACGTCTAGGATCTTTGTGTGGTTCCCACCCCCGGTTTTATTGAGCTATGACTGACACGCAGCACGGTGTAAGCTGAAGGTGCACAGAGTGATTTGGCGTATATATGTACCTTGTGAAATGACCACAAAATGTGAGTTTCTGATTCATTTGTTTGAGCTCATCAGCGAGGTATTTGCCTCTTGTCTGGTCTCTTGGTGGCAAAGACCTTCCAGATTATCGTTTGGCTTTTATTTTTGCTGCTGCTGGTGTGTGTTTTGGAAAGAGCCCATTTTTTCTTTTTACTTTACTTTGTGTGGGTGCTTTTCGATAAAGGAGACTTGGCTGCATTTATGAGCTGACAGGAAGGAGCCAGAAGACGGAGCGGCTGAGTCCCAGAGGAGAGGCAGGTCCCTAGGTTGAGGTCCCAGAGGATGCAGGAGGTGGGGGTGTCTGGCACTGGTCGAGGGAACTTCTGAGCTGGTGAGGACAGGAGGGAAAAGGGAAGGGCCCGGCTGACCCCTTATGAACTGGCTTTGATCTTCATGTAGAGGGAGGTGGAAAAGCTCAGTGGAGAGAAAAGGTTCTGGTCCTCAGGCCCCCAGCTCCCAGTGCTGTTTGCAAGCCTCATCCCCTGGAGTCCTCCCTGCTTCCCTGGGAGGTAGCAGGTGTTACCAGCCCCTCCCTCCCCCAACGGACAGACTCCCGAGGGAGGGGAAAGTGCCTTGTTCAGGTTCAGTCAGCTGATGAGTGGCAGGGATGCACGCAAAGTTGGCTCTTCTGGCATCAACCGCATGCCCTTGCGGATCTCCCTCCTCTTGGTGCCCCCATTTCTAGTAGACCTCAGGAAGCTGCACCCATCTTACTCAGTGAGTGAGAGTCCCTTCCTCTCCTGTCTTGTTTTCCCTCTGGACAGACCTCAGTGGATCCAGAAGCTTCCAGTGGAAGCTGCGTTGGCCACAGGACTAGAAGAGCCCCTTCCCTTCTGGCTGGTGCCCGCACACTCTGCCCTGTGCCCGCACTCTCCAGCAGGAACCCACCGCACTTTCTGGAAGTCAGACCTGTGCAAAGTCTGAATTGGCAGACGGGGAGCTAGGTGAACAGGCGCATGAGAGTGAAGCAGGAGAAGTGGTCTTCGCATTCACCCAACAGACTTGATTTGAAAGAGCAGAAACCCTCGTCCCAGATGCAGACACAGAGCCCAGAAAGGTCCCTGCCCCCACCAACTCTCCAGTTGTCTGAGGTCTTCATTTGCACCTTCCCATCGGGTCTCCAAGGCAGCCTCCTGAGTTGGGGGGTGGGCCATGGATTGAGCCCTTACTAGGTGCCAGACACTTTATTATTTAACCCCCTCTGCAGGGGCGCCTGGGTGGCACGCTCGGTTGAGCATCTGTCTGCCTTGGCTCAGGTCATGATCCTGCCAGCCTGGGATCGAGCCCCACATCCGGCTCTCCACTCGGCAAGGAGTCTGCCTCTCCTTCCCCCTCTGTCCCCCCACCCCCCACCCCCGCTCGTGCTCTCTCTCAAAATAAATAAATAAAATATTTAAAAATAATAAGAACCCCCTCTACCATCCAGTGCTATTCTTCGCATTTTACAGATGAGGAAACTGAGGCTCAGGGTTAAGTGCCTTTTCTTTATTGCGGTGAGTTTGAGCCTCCGGCTCCAGAGCAGTCCCAGGTGAACGTGGCTGGGCTACAGGGAGACTCCTTCCACTTGACAAGGAGCGTTGGAATCCCAGCTGTGCCTCGGTTCCCTCAACTCTTAAACTGTAGTTTATAAGAGCAGGGCTTATCGGGAGGATTAAATGAGTTACTCCACGAAAACCACTTTGACCAGTGTCTGTGCAGAGTAAGCCCTCAGGAAATGTATACTATTGTTACTATTAAGCAGGAGCTCCATGCCTGACGGGGAGCCTTTCAGAAATGTCAGCTCAAGCAGCTCACCCTTCCCCTCCCCATGCCTAGGGTAATGGGAAGGTGGGCGAGTCCTGACACTGGAAAGAATATGGACTTTTTTTTTTTTTAAAGATTTTATTTATTTATTTGACAGAGAGAGACACAGCGAGAGAGGGAACACAAGCAGGGGGAGCGGGAGAGGGAGAAGCAGGCTTCTCTCAGAGCAGGGAGCCCGACGTGGGGCTCCATCCCAGGACCCTGGGATCATGACCTGAGCCAAAGGCAGATGCTTAACGACTGAGCCACCCAGGCGCCCCAAGAATATGAACTTTTTATTTTTATTTCATTTTTTTTAAGATTTTATTTATTTATTTGACAGAGAGACACAGCGAGAGAGGGAACACAAGCAGGGGGAGTGGGAGAGGGGGAAGCAGGCTTCCCGCGGAGCAGGGAGCCCGATGTGGGGCTCCATCCCAGGTCCTTGGGATCATGACCTGAGCCGAAGGCAGACGGTTAACAACTGAACCACCCAGGCACCCCCTTTATTTTTTTTAAGATTACTTATTTATTAGAGAGAGAGAATGCACGTACTTCAGCGGGGGGAGGAGCAGAGGGAGGGAGAGAAGCAGGGTTCGATCCTAGGACCCTGAGACCATGACCTGAGCCAAAGTCAGATGCTTAACTGACTGAGCCACCCAGGTGCCCAGAGAACGTGGAGTTTTAAAAACCTTTCAGGAGACAAGATAATGATCCGTACCTACAACTTTAAATTCCGTTTCCTTTGACCCAAGAGGCTCATTTCTAAGAACCAGTCCTACAGAAGTAATTAAGGATGTGCTCAAAGATGTGAGTGCTAAGATATTCACCACGGTGTTGTCCGTAAAAGCAGAAAGATGGAAACCACAGTTCCAGGAGTCAGGACAGGAAATAGGCAAAGTGAAGGATGGAACTGCCATATGAGATTCACTGTTGCCCTGAAAAATTAGGGTACAGAGCTGTATTTATGGACATGAAATGAGGGCATAGCGTACGCTTTCAAGCAGGTTTATCCCGGTACAATTTACACATCGTCACACGCATACAGTTTGATGAGTTTTAGGAAATGTGTATGGTAGGGGCCTAGCATGTTTTTAAGTGAAAAATAAAGCAAGGTGTAGAACAGTACGTGTAATAGGATCTCCCTCTGTGCGCATGCGGCTCTGGGTAAACATCGCTCCGTGTCTGCAACCGCCCCGTCTGGCAGGTCCCCGGCAACATGGAAGCATGGGGAAGGGACCGAGAAGAATATATGTCACGTGCTTTAGTGACCTCACACCATCTTCGGGGCAGAGTAAAGCAGGTGTCCCTGCAGGGTGGTGACTGGACACACACACAACCCCTCGATTGTGGAAATATGGAGACAATATGCAAAGGCATGAAGCCAGGACTCTAATCACCCATCACCCATGCAGCAGGGAACAGCATTTTGGTGGACTCCGTAGCAAATGGCAGCTCTTCTCAACTCTTCTGGTTAGGAGGCTGCTGGGCAGGGGAGGGGATGCGGGACGTCTTGGGAAGTGGGAAGCACGTACTGCAGAAACATGGAAATCCCAGAGCCTGGTGGGTTTGAGCGATGGAGTTGGTTTTCCTTTCACGTTTTTACCATCATGTTCAAGGGCACCTGGAGCATCAGGATGGTTTTCCTTCGTGCCTCGGTCCTCACACACTGATGGTGCCCTCCCTAAGTTACTGTCATTTACACCTCGGGAGAGTGGGTGGCGTGTGGCTAAGTGCCCACGTTCCTCTGCTTCCAGTATCCTCCATGGCCAAGTGCACCCTGGGCATTCCCAGTGGGACTCACCCGGGGCCCTGAGGGTCTGCCCATAGTCTAGGCTGTGGACGAGGCCCGGGGTTTGGGGTAAGTGCTGCTCACATGCCCACTCGTTTGGAAGGTAGCCACGAGTGACAATGTGTGTAGTGGGGATCCAGGCCACAGCCCACAGTGGGAGTTGTGCTGAAATCCAGGCAGCTTCCTGGAGGTGGCCTGCTCTGCTCACCTAGGTCAGGAGAGACTCAGGGAGGAAGGACCGTCCAAGGACTCGGAGCAGACATCCCTGGGTGCAAATCCTGCCTTCCATGCTTATTAGCCCTGCTGCAGTGGGAAGGTCGCCTTTCCTCTCTGGACCTTCATTTTCTCAAGTGTGAAATGGGGCTGTAGTGGTAGACGTGAAGACGTAAGAGTGATCAGTGCTTGGCAGGGTGCCTGAC